GAATCTTGAAGAATAACAAAGCAGAAGAAATTCTGAAATATGAAAGGGGCCTTGGGGAATTTAAGAAAATTCCAGAGTATACTGAATTCGAAATTCCTCAGTTTACTCTCAGGCCAGTCAAGGTTGAAGATATTTTTACAAAGTTTGGGTTTCTGACTCCTGAACCTAAAAATCAAGACAAAAATGTCTTCGTTCCTGCAGAGGTAAACCAAACATTCGAAACAATTAAAAGTGGCTTCCCTTCAGACAATCTGGTAGCATGCGTCTCAAAGGAAGAAGTTTGGATCACTGGTAAAGATAAAATAATGAAGCGTTTTGACAGCCAAAATACCCTTTTAGAGACAGTTGATACGTTAACGGGAAATTGGCCCTGCGATGTATGTTTGACCAAACATGGAGATCTTTTGTATAGCGACTGGAACGATAGGAGTGTGAATCTTGTAAATGGCGGGCAAATTAAAAGAACTGTTGCACTGGACGGGTGGAAACCTTCAGGAATTTGTCCCTCGTGTGTTGGCGAACTTCTGGTGTGCATGCAGAGTCATAATGTGCACGAAAGCAAGGTTGTCCGATTCTCGAAGTCCGTTGTAATACAGGAAATACAGTACGGTAGTAATGGGAAGCCTCTTTATAGCAGTGGCGGTTACACGATGTTTATAGCTGAAAATAGAAACTTGGACGTCTGCGTGAGTGACTTTCGAGCACGTCAGGTTATAGTGGTGAGTCAGTGGGGCAAACTTCGCTTCAAGTATGACGGAAAAATCAGCTCAGAACGGGCTTTCTCACCATATGCCATTGACACAGACAAGATGTCGAGGATATTTATAGTGGACAGCGGAAGTCGTTGTATCCACGTGATTGATGCCGACGGCCATTTTCTCGCCTTCATTCCAGCATGCGGGAATATTGAACCGCTTGGACTGAGCATGAAGGATGGCGTTATGTTCGTTGGAAGTGGCAATAGTGACATTGTTAACTGTATGAAGTACAATAATTACATATAAGTATGGCAAGCCCTTTTACTATTTATTCGGAAAATAAATTTCATCTGAAAATTACAGAGATATCTCTCATTTTAGAGAGATATCTCTTAAAAATAAGAGATATCTCTCAACTTAAAGAGATATCTCTTATTCTAAAGAGATATCTCTATAAGAAAGAGATATCTCTTAAAGTTAGAGAGATATCTCTTATACTTAGAGAGATATCTCTTTTTCTTTGAGAGATATCTCCTTCTCCTTGAGAGATATCTCTTGCGTGAAAAGAGATATCTCTGAACGTTAAAGAGATATCTTTTTCAACTAGAGAGATATCTCTTTCACCTAGAGAGATATCTCTTTCACTTAGAGAGATATCTTTCCAAGTTAAAGAGATATCTCTTTAAGTAAAAGAGATATCTCTCTAAGTTTATCTTAAGAGATATCTCTCAAAGTGAAAGAGATATCTTTCAAAAGGGTCTAAAAGAGATATCTCTGAAGCAAAAAGAGATATCTCTTTATTGCAAAGAGATATCTCTCTTCATTATGTTTATTTAAATTCCATTTGAAATGACTTCTCCCTTTACCGGAAGTGAACTTTTTATTCATTATTTCAAAAGCTGAGAAAATTCGGTCCAGAGTCTGTAAGTCTCGTCACGTGACTCGCGAGATTTTACGATAATATTCACTTCCTCGCACATGGTCATGGTGAATGTGTATTGAGTTCAGCATGTTTCTGGTTTACACACAGCTTTCAGGGGGAAATTAAATAGTTTTACAAAGCCGAAAGGTTGTCCGACTTACGATGTATGAATTTTATGTCATAAGAAATTGGATGCGAGCGTCCACCAGGAATATTTCGATCGAAATACAGGTAAACAAATCAGAGAGTGTCATCCGTTTCTTGTTTATTTTGAGGGAAAATGAAGTGTTTTATTCTTAACCGAATGAAATAGTTTCAAAATTATCTTTTGCCTTAATTTGTTAACAGATTTCTCTTGAATCCGAGATGTTATTCATCAGCTGATTATAGAGGAGGAGTTTTGTCATTGATGGGAACCAACGTCATATTTATGATATTGTGGCTGCATCACTTTTGTTTGGGTAATTTTTTAATATACTTTTTATGCCCCCGTAAACGAAGTTTCGGGGGTAATTAGTTTTTGTTGTGTCCGTCTGTCTGTCTGTCTTTCTGTTTGTCCGCAAAAACTTTCACCTTGCCCATAACTTTTGATTTAGTGGAGCTATGACTTTCATATTTCATATGTATATTCCTTGTGTAAAGACCTTTCTTTGGGTACCACCAAATTTGACCTTGACATTGGAGTTTGACCCACTTTAAAAATACAACATTGACAGAAATTTTTGAAGGGTTAGGACTAGGGCATTCATACTTCACAAATTTAATCCTTGTGACAAGACCTTTCATTTGATTTCAAGAACCTTGACCATCTGACCTTGACCTTGGTGTTTGACCTACTTTTTACAAACTTTAACCTTGACCATAACTTCTGTATAGTTGGGGCTAGAGCTTTCATATTTCACATGTGTAATCCTTGTGACAATACCTTTCATTGGATATCAAGAATCTTGATTTTGGTAAATTTTTCTGTCTGTTCAAATTCGCCTGCATGGCACAGTGGTTAGAGTGTCTGCTCTAGTAGAGTCGCGAAATAAGGTGTTGATCCTTACATCATGAGTTTGAATCCCACTGTGGGATGTGGAGACCTGTCCTTGGGATGATACAGTATAACTGTGGCCCCTTGTTGCAGTAGGTCAGGTGTTGGCACAAAAAAGATCCCTTCCTGCTCAATCAGTCAATGGCCCTGAGTGCTGAGTATAGGTCATTAGGACAAAATTTGCAGCTCTCCACTGTCATTTCCATATGAGTGAAAAATTCTTGAGAGGAACGATAAACAATAAACAATCAATCTGTCTGTTCAATTTATTCTCTGATATTACACAACTGTATACACTAAAACTTATTTATAGCAGAGGTACAAGAGAACCAGTAACACAGATAAAAGATGCAGTTCCTAAGAGATCCAAAGTCAGCAGCGCCTAAGACTATACTGATCATGACTTTGAATTATCAGCATCCAAAACAATGCAAATCAAATACAGGTATGAAATTGATGCAACAAATAAGTTCTAAGACAAATATAAACTTTATTTTTTATAAGACATAGCATATCAAAATGACTAATATACTAGTCAACAACTGGCCAGCTTTAAAAATATATTTGTTTGATGTACTCCTACCCACTTTTATCAAGGTTGGCAGGTAGGTTGGTAGGTACCGGTAGTTTTTTTATGCCCCATTGATTATGGCTTGGGCATATAGTGTTTGTCATGTCTGTCTTCTGTCTTTCTGTCCATGCATCACACTTTGCGTTTAGCTCAGTTCAAAGCCCAGTTTCAAAGAAACTATACAGGATATTTCATCAAACTTTGCTGATAGATATTGATAAGAGCTATGCAACTGCATCAACATTTTCTGTCCTTGACCTTTCCTTTGACCTTGACCTCACTTTTCTTAAATTAGTGTTTAACTTAGTTTTAAACATACCATTCAAGATGGTGTTACAGCAAAACTCGGTTATAACAAAGTTGCTGGGACCTATGAAATTACTTCGCTATATCCATAATTCATTATAATCGTATAAGAAATTCATTGAAATTTAATAGCTGGGAATCCAAGATGACTTCGCTATACCCATGAATTCGCAATATTCGTGTTCGTACGAAACGAGATTTACTGTATCAAACTTACCATACTGATGAGAGCTTTTCAACTGAAACAAACATTTTTTGTCCTTGGCCTTTCTTTTGACTTTGACCTCAATTTTCCTAAGTTAGTGTCAAACTTCATATGGTGATACATTCTGATGTAAGCAATTCAACTGCATCAACATGACATTGACCTTTTATTTGACCTTGACCTCACATCTCTGAAATTAGTGTCAAACTTCATATGCTGATACATACTGATGTAAGCAATTCAACTATAATATTTTTCAAGATATTCTGATCAAATTTCATACAAATTTTCATTTTGCATGACTGATATACCCTTGGCGGGCATTCCTGTCCTGTGGACATATTTCTAGTTTTTTTTTTCTTATGTCTTACAGCATTGAATAAATTGATAACTGTCATATTTAAAACCACAGACTCAGAAATCTGTTAATGTTTTCATTTAGTTACAAAGACTTTGTATTTATAAATTAAAAAGCATCCTAAAAAAAAATATGATACCTTATCTTTAAAACATCTATGGAAATTAAGGGGAGTGTTAAAAAATTTTAAGTGCCCCCAAGAAATGACTGCAAATGGGTAAGGGCTATTTTAACAGGTCGGTCAGAGTACATCAACAAATCATTTTTTAGCTCACCTGAGCCAAAGGCTCAAGTGACCTTTTCTGATCACAATTTGTCCGTTGTCTGTCGTTGTAGTCGTCGTCGTCGTTGTTGTTGTAAACTTTTCACATTTTCATCTTCTTCTCCAGAACCACTGGGCCAATTTCAACCAAACTTGCTATAAAGTATCCTTAGGTGAAGGGGATTCAGGTTTGTTCAAATGAAGGGCCACACCCTTTTCCAAGGGGAGATAATTATGAATTAGAGAAAAATTAATGGCATTTTTAAAAAATCTTCTTCTCAAGAACCACTGGGCCAGGAAAGATGAAACTCATGTGGAATCATCACCAGATAGTGTAGATTCAAGTTTGTTCAAATCATGACCCCAGAGGGTAGGGTGGGGCCAAAATGGCCGATCAAAGTTTTACATAGGAATATATAGGAAAAATCTTTAAAAATCTTCTTCTCAAGAACCACTGGGCCAGGAAAGATGAAACTCATGTGGAATCATTACCAGATAGTGTAGATTCAAATTTGTTCAAATCATGACCCCCGGGGGTAGGATGGGGCCAAAATGGCAGATCAAATTTTTACATAGGAATATATAGGAAAAATCTTTAAAAAATCTTCTTCTCAAGAACCACTGGTCCAGGAAAGATGAAACCCATGTGGAATCTTCCTCAGATAGTGTAGATTCATGTTTGTTCAAATCATGACCCCTGGGGGTAGGGTGGGGCCAAAATGGCCGATCAAAGTTTTACATAGGAATATATAGGAAAAATCTTTAAAAATCTTCTTCTCAAGAACCACTTGGCCAGGAGGGATGAAACTACTGTGGAATCATCCCCAGGTAGTGTAGATTCAAGTTTGTTCACATGACCCCCAGGGGGGTTAAAATTCAACCCCCCCCTCCCCCCCCCCCCAGCTCAGCAAACTTTCAGTTCTGATCTGATATGTGCTTTTTCCTAGCCAATTGCTCAGGTGAGCGATGTGGCCCCTGGGCCTCTTGTTAAAGGTAAGTGTCCCTATAAGCAAAGAATCTGACAAAGCAAAACCTTCATCTTAAAAGATTTACATTTAATACTTATTTGATTGGTAGTTTTAATTATTTTTTTTTTCTTCTACGCAGCCTTTTATTTAGCATTTCTGAGTACTGCATGGTATATGATTGCCATACTTTCCAAAACTTTTTTTTTTAAATGCTTTATTTTGAAGCATTTTCCATATCCATATATACACTGTACAAACCACCACTCACCACCACAATTGCACATACTCACACAGTGCACTTTCTAAAATTAAAAATAATGAGATGTTTGTAAAATACTTATGCCCCCCTCCCCCCACATTGGAATTTTTTATCTAAGTCCAAAAAGGCATAACTCTGTCAAAAATTTTGCAAGCATACCCAAAAGAGAACTTGACCTAGATATTTATGATCATCTGATAAATCTGTATACTAAATTGCATTTCACTATGTGCAACCTCTGCAAAGGAAATGAACAGAAACTGCAAGTAATTGGAATTTTTCTAAAGCCATGGGGTATAACTCTGTCAAAAATGGTGCGATGATCATACCCAAAACAGAACTTGACCTAAATATTCATCTGATATACCTGTAAGGCTGTATACCAAATTTCATTTCAGTGCAATGGTTGTGAAGAAAATGAATGGAAACTAAATGGACTGACAGACAGCAGCAAAGCAATATGCCCTCCTTTCTTCAAAGGGGGGGGGGGGGGGCATAATAAATGTACATATATGTAAACATATGACAGTTAAACATACAATTTATCCAAAAACAAAACAGATGTACCCAAATGTGTAGATTTAAATTAATTAAAAATTACAATTTTGATTTTTTCATCACTTGTTGTACACATTATCATACAGGACCCATTTACTGAGTATTTTGTCCTTACATTGAAAAACTTTTTCACAACAATTTTCTATAATTCTGTAATACTTGAATAACTTTACTGCATCAATAAATAATGGCTTACTATCTTGTGATCTTGAATAGTAAATAAATTTTTTGGCAACTAATAAAAGAAAATTTTCTAAACAACTTCCTTCTATATTAACAAGTAAAACAGTTCTTTTGGATATTTTGTAATCTTTTTCAATGACACTAAACCTTTGTACAAATTGATTCCAAAATTTAGTCACATTTTAATATACACAATCATAAAATAAGTGAATTATTGTCTATTGTTTATATCCTGTTTCTATGTCTGTTTGTCTTTTGTCAACTTTAACCTCCACCATAACTTTTGAACCATGAGAGATACAGACTTCATATTTAATACGCCTACTCCACTAATTAAATTCTTTCAAAAGACACCAAGGTCAATGACCTTGTGACCTTGACTGTGACCTATATGCTAAAAATAGCTTTTTTTTTAAACTTTCACCTTAACTTTTGATACATTAAAGAGAGAGAAATCATATTTGGAATGCCTTCTTCATTAATTATGCTCTTTCAAATGACACCAAGGCCAGTGAACCTTGTGACCTTGACTATAAGCTATATGCTTAAAAAAACTTCTTTGAATTTGTTGCCGCCTGGTGCATAGTGTTTCACAAACACATCTTGTTTTGAAGTAGTTTTAATATTTGAATTTCTGTAGAATTTTATGTTACATATAAAAACCAAAAATTTTTAAAATCAAAATCATTTTTATTTCAGTACTTTGTGACAGTGGGATGCTGGAATATTAAAGAATGGACATGGCTCTATATTACTGCATCAGAGATCAATCCAGGTTTACTTATAAATCAAAGAAAAACACTTAAACAGTCAAGCATCATTTGAAGCTACATGTGTCACCGCTTTAACAATATGCCTGCTTATATTGTTGTGAGATGTGTTGTATTTGTATTGTTTCATTATGTATATAATTAGTAACATTAAGTTTCTTGAACATTCCAGAGTGGTCAATATGTTAAGTCATTTTTCTAGAACATTCTTGAACTTTGTTTATGTCTAGAACTTTCCAGGAATATCATGTTTTAACAATTTCTAGAATATTCTAGATTTATATTACTGTATAAATACCCTGTCAATTCGATGCATATAAAATACATGGTCGTATAAGCATCACTGAGGTATTACTGGGATATAATTTCACTGGGACATTGTGTGCAGCAACGGACACTCTGATGTATGTATTTTTAGATTTGTGCTAAGTTTGTACTTAATGATTTGTATATTACTGTAAATAAATTATTGTTAAGTTTAAACTGTGTGATTGATCTTTGCTGGCATTTAGGGTTATTCTGACCCATAACAGAATTGGGGGCTCGTCCGGGATAAAGAATTTCTTGCACTTTTGCAGTTTATTGTCAGAATTTTGTTAATTGAACCTTTAAATTAAATTATAAGCCAGCAGAAATCAACATGGTGTTTTCGGTCACAGACTTTCTTAGTTCACCAAGTGTTCAGGTTTTTGATACGTTAAAAAAGGATGACTTGATCGCATTAGGTTTGCATTTTGGGTTAGATGTTAAATCCTCTCAGAGAAAGCAAGACATTAGAATTAAGGTTGCAAACAAACTAGTAGAAGAAAACATCTTTGAAAAATACGATCTTCCAGAATATACAGTTAAATCAGAGTTAGGCTCTTATAAAATGACAGAATATCAGTTTCAGTTAGAGTTAGAGAAAATGCGATTTGAAAGAGAAGAGCGAGAAAGAGAAAGAGAAGAACGAGAGCGTGAACGGAAATTTGAATTAGACAAATCAGAAAGACAAGAGCA